CCTTCGATCAATGTAATCTAGTAATAATGATATTTTCTGAAAATATCATATTCACAGAAAATATCATTATTACTAGATTACATTGATATCGAAGGAACTAGATTCTGTTCCGAAATATCACATACTCGAACCGAGCAGACCACGTAGCTCAGTTGGCAGAGCATTGGGCTAGCATTCCAACGGTCGTAGGTTCGATTCCCACCGTGGTCAGGCATATTTTTCAAGCTTGCCCGGTGTGGATATACACTCAGAGTAACATCACAAGCATCTTATTCACCTGAGTACATTGCACCAACACAGAAAATATCAAGCTAAATATAGTTACAATCACTAAATATATCATTATTTAATTATAGCATTAACCAATTATCAAAACAATACATTAAATATGGCATGAATACTCATGCTAGAAATAGCCAATCGGAGTCACAACAATAAAGGCAGTTGTAGGACACAAACATAATAACATGTGTATCAGGTCTTCATTTTTCTTTGCCTGCCAGCTGTGAGAAAAATGAAGGTCTGGGCACAGGATATAATCCCATGTAAACAGAGATGAAATTTGCCTCAGTAAAGCAAGCTGTCAAGTTTGTATTGGGGCTAGTTTGGCTCCAGACAAGCAAACCTCTGTAAAATGTAAAAATCTACCCCCCCCCCCAACCACTAACATCTTTCTGGTCTTTCTGGAATGTAGAGCAACAACAGTAATAGACACAAACTGTAATTATTTTGTTATTACATACAAATCTATATTAATTGTGCAGGACCCCATTTTCCACTTTACACACTTCTTGAACTGAACAATTTAGTAATTTACTACCATTTGTAAAAATATAGAGAAATTTAACTTACTTATAAATTAGAGCCCTCAGTTCGATCGAGTTTCACATCGTGGGCATAAGATACCTTCCATTCTTCCACTTGGTAGTAATTGGTTCGACTGTAAATTATATTATTGTTCTCCGTCAATTTCGAGGGATTTCTCTTCGCATTAAATGGTTGCATATAGTATTTGCATATCCAAATTGATCAAATATCCTTGCCGCCATGTCTTGAATCGAATGTCTCGTTACGTCACAGTAGATTTGATTTTGCAATTTGCATCAGTGGACTGATGCGAGCGCCCGCAATCTGCATGCGATGCATCGCTCAGCGGCCAAATCTAACGTGACGTAGGGCTCTAAAACAATAGATTTGATGATGTCACGCTAGATTTCACGCGGAAAAGGACTCGGGACCGATGCATTCACTGATGCAAAATGGATGCCAATCGAATCTAACGTGACGTAGGTGATGCATTTTGCTTCAACTGTGACGTCAGGATGCGGTAAAAAAATAACATATTTTGTCGCGAAAATATTGACGCTTAAGTGTCGCAAAACAACAGAAAGTACACATTTGCGATCGCAATTCGCAACGTCGTATGTTGGACTTACTTTGACAATTTCGACTGTTATTGAGACTATTTAAATTGGATTTCATCCTAAATAGTGTATTCCTGACATGGAGTCAATTTTAAGCAAAGATTTGCGGGTTGACAGGAAATATTTTATTACTGTGTGCTTTGACTATTGGCGAATTATATAGCTATATATTTCAAGCACATGAATCATGATTTCTCAATTTTGACCGATGCATTCGCATCGCTGGCATCGGTCTGGATCCGCCCCTGTGTAGGCCAGGATATACAAGACACTGTTATAAATGTGTCTAATTTGACCCATAATCATCATTCATTAATAAGTATGTTGTAATATGTTGATGAGCAATCTTTTGCTTTTTCAAATTTAGAGGGCTATATATAACAAATCAGTCATTGGTAACGCTAGATGATCTTCATTCAAGATTCATTATCGTAAAGGAATCATCGGCAAGAAATGGTCTTTTCATTGGCTGATAAAAATGGACCTTGGGTAGATGTTTGCCAGGTTGTATATTTCTTGTAGCCTTTGACTTGCATAAGGAAAAGAAAATATATGCTGAAACTACATGCTAGACGATGAAATCATTGTTGAAGAACATATTAGTTATGTTTATATAGAAAAAGAACACTGTAAAGTCACCTTGTACTGGACAGAGTAATGTAATAAGTGCAGAGCTCGGCACAACTAATCTACATCACCATTTGCAGTTTAAATGGTAATAAATGTGATATTTTACATTCATCCAGCTTTACAGTCTTACATTTTGAGGAGCAATGCAGTACAAAACTTAAATGTGCCCTACTAACCTACTGCCCTTTCATTATATTACTCTATCTAATAGCATATAAGCTTATATTTCATTAAGGGGTGAGTCTTATTTAATAGTTTGTTTGTGAATTTATTTAGATATGTATCATTTTGATATTGAGCATAATAGTTTTCAGCTAAATACATTGTGCTTTATATATTTTCTATTTATGTGTATAATGCTAAGTTGAATAGAATATTATTTTTTACTAAACTGTGTTGATTTAGGTTATGTTAGATGCCACTAAGATGGTTTCGATAAATCGAAACACTGACTTGGTCTCGCTAAATCGAAACATTGACATGGTCTTGTTAAATCGAAACATTGACATGGTCTCGATAAATCGAAACGTTGACATGGTCTCGATAAATCGAAACATTGACATGGTCTTCGATAAATCGAAACATTGGCATAGTCTCGATAAATCGAAACATTGACATGGTATCGATAAATCGAAACATTGACATGCATGGTCTTCGATAAATCGAAACATTGGCATTATCTTGATAAATCGAAACATTGACTTGCTATCGATAAATCGAAACAATCACATGGTCTCGATAAATCGAAACATTGGCATGGTCTCGAGAAATCGAAACATTGATATAGATTCCATAAATTGATCAGAGACAGAGATGCCTTGCTACTTTTGCATTATTTGATCCTTTTCAGAACAGTCTATAAAATGTATTGTTAATTTTAGGTAAATTTGGTTGTTTTGGCAAGGGAAGAAAATTTGCATTCTTTTTTTTTGCACAAAAGGTGTTTTTAAGAGGGTCTCCCAGGGGGGGGGGGGGTACTTGTTCCCGTGTTCCCTTCAAAATTTTCGCTTTGTTCCCTTGTTCCCTTCCAAAATTTAACCATGCTACCTTGCTCCCCTTTATAAATTAAATTTTGTTTCGTTATTCAGAAAATTTGACAGTTTATCCTCGCTATCATCCATTATATTAATACATACGTTCACATTAACAAAATTAAACAGAAAAATACAATCACAAGCCTGCAGATGTTGCTCATTGGAAAAATACAATACTGAAGAAGACTATAATGTTTAATAGGTATTTGACTTCGTGGAAGTATTGACAGTTTTACTATTACATAACAAAAAATAGATCTAATGAACAGCATTGCATTTATAGTTTCTTCAATTGTTCCAACGATTAAAGTACTAAAGTATCACGTTTACTAATCATAATATACAAAATCGTCAGTAGCCTATGTGGTGTCTTTCTTGCACGTCTTGGCTTCGTATCTGTTGCACTTTCTTGGTCGATATCTTGGCGCTCTCTAATTTCTCTCGCCTCTTCAACCGTCACAACATCAACACATTCAATCATTCTCGACTGCTATCTTAGAAACTCATTCTCTGTCAGTTCAAGGTTGCTATCTCCTGCAAACGGTTTCCACTTGAGAACCAGGTATTTCTTTCGCATTGACCTTGACAACTCCTTTTGTAAATATAATTGGATTGAAAGGGTCACCTTCAAAAATGGTGGCTCTTGCTTTCTTTGTTGAAACACTAACGTTTTCTTGTAGATGGTAGATCATCATCCGCCCACAATTGGCGTACGAGGCAAGAAAAACAACGTCCCCAGTGGAATGAAGAATGCTGTGCGTGTTGGCATGGTGTGTTTCCGTTTGGGTACCATTTTCTGTAATTTTCGAGAATTCCAAAGGCTCGCTAGCTGGCTGTGCCAGGGCATAGAGATTTATCGGCAGAGTACCCGGATTGTCTTTAGTGCTCATGTTACGCACGGTATTCTGTGGGACACTTTGACCATACTTCATGCGCCAGTCTCTCATTTGCTGCACTAGTGACTTTGTCAACTGCGCTGCTGAAGGTGGGGCCATCTTTGGTAGAGTTAAATACTTCAAGTCAGATTTGACTTGAAGTATTCAAGTGCTCCTTCATTGCTCGACTGAAGTGAAAGTCGAACTGCAACTGCATTGGCATATCACGTGCCCTGCCCTTATCTCGGAGAAACAATTCTCGACTACCAGCGTCAAACGGCTTTAAGTTTGAACAACTTCAAAAGCTGTGGATCATACTTTTGAAGCAGACCTCGCATTTCTCCCAAAGATTCTTGTTTCGTCTTCCACAACGACTGAAGAAACGTTTCCTTGCGGACCTTGGCTCTGAGCATTTGTTCTAAGGAAGGCTTTGACTTGTTCTATGTATGCACTGACAATCGAAGTTATATACCTCTTCGATTCTGGTGATTGCTGCGTCGATTGTGAAGGGCGTTGCCGTTGGTATCTGCTTTTTCAGGTGCAAGCAAAATGTGACGGAGAAAAGTAATGATGGCTGCTCAAAAATCTGACTAGAGGAGAAACTTCACTTATCATCCTCAAGCAGCCCGTAGAACAGTCTACCACAAGTACACTAGCTGGTTGGACAAATTGGAGAAAACGATATATTATGCCCATTTTTCATCTACAATACATTAGGCCATTGTACCACTTGTATATATTCTAGGAAAGGGGATTTGTTCCCCTGTTCCCCAATATATTTCGTGTTCCCTTGTTCCCTAATTTTGTTTTCCTGTGTTCCCATTGTAAAATTTACAGTGTTCCCTTGTTCCCCCAGAACCCCTGGGAGACCCTCTTTTAAGCACCAATTTTTCTGTGTTTTTCAGTTTTATACAATTTTTTTTAAAAACGAAAATTTGACTAAATAGAATATTGGACCCTATAGTAGAACGTGTTTTAATTAAAGTTCGCGTGATGTTTGCTTATTGATCGACTTGCACGCACTTCTAGATATCTTCTTTTGAAACGTTTGTGCAGTATAGCTATAGGTTATATACTGTAGTGAAGCATTTGAATTTTGTGCCAATAAATATATTAGCACTTAACATACAGTTATAGAGGGACAAGAGCATAATTTTACGATACATGGTTGTTTAATATCTGCTGAGTGATTGTATCGTGCATCATGCACGGTGCATGTACTAATGTTTGATAAAGTTTGATTCAAATCATAATACAGCATACATGTTTTGATAATCTCGTAATCATGAATTAGTTAATTTGATAATGTTGTTCGTTTGAGGCCAATAGCTGCTGTGGAAAGTAAAGCCTAACTTATAGCTTTATATAAAAACTATAAAAATATAAAAATTAAGTGTAAAAAGGTGTTTTAGCTTTCGTCGTCTACGACATTATCAGAATCTGAATGTTGTGTATTCGAGTCATTAAATAATATTCAGAGACTCGAATACACAAAATTCACATCATGCATGCTATTGAAAGACAACTTTGTACGTTTATGATCAATAAATTGGAAGATTAGATAAAATAAATTTTTCATCCATGTTCTTTAGATAAAAAGATTCAGTTAAACTTCAAACACTTTGCGTTCAAAATTTTGCTATTGGTCATCATGCTAGCAGTTGTAGAATCTATTACAGGTAATTCGTATAACTTTACTTTTTTACGGCATATATTTTTTGCACGTTACTGCTATAATACTTGAAACAATTCAAACAAATGAACAGATAAATCTGCAGTAGTTTAATTTGGTTTCACACGACAATAGTTTGTAACAAAAGATGGGTTATCAGCCTTTTCAGGCATTATATGTATAGTAGTCTTGTATCTAGGGGAGAATATAGAAATATAGTTTACTCAAACCTACCAATAAATAATTATTTTGTTTTAGGACCACAAAGAGAAGTGGTTTCAATATACAATGATGTATTTGACACTCCACCATCCAGACCTCAATATTTCATCGAAGTTTATCGCTGTGTTAAAGTTGACTTCGGCGAATGCACTAGCAGTGGACCGTCTGGGTACCCTGTGCCGGAGAACATTGAAAAAATTGAGATAGTGGTTCCGCATATAACGAACTGCAAAGATCAGAATTCTACCTACAAAACGAAGTTTTATAAATATGTCGTTTATAATCACACGTCTTGTAAATGTGGGACCATCAAGTTCAGGCATAGTACTCTGTATCAAACAATAACTAATAACGAAGGTTAGTCCAATGAACATGCATGTTTTGTGATTAATTTTCTTTCGATATTTAGAAACATATATATATATATATATATATATATATATATATAAATATACGGGGAGAACACGGGATCTCCAGGGGCACCGGAAGGACTGGAACGCGGCGGGGGCAGAATCTTGAAAAAGGCATTTTTCGCGCCGAAGGTGCAACACCTCGTAGGGGTGTCCGGGAGCATCTTCCCACGGAAAATTTTTAAATCTAGAGTCTCTGAAATGCCACTTCGTGCATTTGTGGGCAGAGTTTGACATAATTTTGAGTATTAATTAATAAACGTACAAATACAAAAACGTATAAAACGTATAAAACGTATAAAATACAAAAAGCAGTGAAATTTTTAAGTATATTGGTGCATGAATATTTTGGTAGCTGATGAAGTCTGACAGTTATTGCAGCAAAATATTTCTATAAATTGTGCACTAGATCAGTTTTTTATAGATTATGAATAAATTGAGTAGATTCAGTAACAACATAAGACGTCCAGTTCGTGTATTAACAATATCAAAATTCATATAATATTCAGCATATTGTAATTAGGTAATACTATCTGTTGTTTAATACCATGTAAAGCCGGAATCCGAGGTTGAATCTATCAAATACTGAACTGTCCAAAGTATTTTCGCCGCTTTTCATTCACTCGGACAAAATCTCTGGCAACCTTGGTGGTACAAACATCGTCCATAGTGGCAACGTTGGTGGTATCAGCAACCTTGGTGGTAGACAAGCATCGTTGACTGTAGCTATGATTTAATCCGTCGCATAGCGCATGCAGAAACCTCTCTCTGCGGTTTCTGATCCTATTGGTACAGTATGGTAAAGGCACAATGACCAGTTGTTGGTTTCTGGAAGGGTTTCTTTTGAACTTTGTTTCTCGTTCAAGACATCACAAATAGTGGAAAACTTAGTAATCTTCTTTAGGGGAACTGTATATGTTGGGGAACTTGATGTGGACACGAATCTTTTCCAGCTCGTTCTTTAGCTCGTCTATATGTCGATTACGTCTGCTATAGCAGCAAGGCTATCGAAATCTTCATCGTTGGTATGGTCTTCCTTTTTTGCGCTAAGTGGTCAGTTGTAGGTCACGAACATTGTGCAAGCAAAACAGAAACAGTGCAAAATATTGCCTACAATAGCAAGCTAACGCAAATACAGCGGTTCGTGCAAATATACTCGCACAACAATGTAGAGTAAAATAAATTGATATAAAATAAGATAAAGGAACAATCCGACTTTTAACACTGTACTATAAAGAAATCGATAACTACAATCTGTAATCCTTGCTTCTTTGCTTGTGTTGTATATCCCAACGAAAAAACGAGTCAACTAACTATCACGGTTCAGTGCTTCTTATTAGAGACTTTAATTACGCGTTATACAGCAAACGGCAACCTCCAGGCAAAGAAAGATTTCACGGTATCGGGTATCAGGCAATAAAGAGTAAATGAACTTGCTGTTTTAAAACTGCAATGCATGATTATTCTTTCGACACAAGAAAGAAAATATGAAACGAAAACGTTTAACGAAAATTTTGCGAAGAAAGTTCGAACTGCCGTTTGCTGTTCCCGGAAACGCGAAGCTTAAACTCTCTATTTATAGTAGAGGCAAGGAAGTTAAACAAACTAAAAACTGAACTTAATAAGGCTGCGTATCTTGGGTGGAAAACCACAAGAAGCTGGAATGCTCTAAAACAATCTAGAACAGGGGAAGATTTATCGCAAATACGTTATTGTAGTGCCAGTCTCCCAGAGCATGACTGTCCTAAGCGACCAGAGAAATTTAGGTGTGTCAAGAAATTACAAAAATGTAGAAGGCTTATATCCGTCCAAATAGAAGGATTATATGGATTATACCAGTCCAAACTGTTCCATGAAGATAACAAGACGCTATCAACGTAGCCTGCGTAATGCGTAAATGAACCATGAAATGAACGTGGTCATAATATATACTTATACATATGACGCCCAGTCAACAATAATAACTTATTAGCTTGCCGCTAGATCGCTAATTCTTTTTTGTCGCAAAAAGGGGCAACCAGTTGCCCCCGCACTGCCCCCGCACTGTTAGGGCAGCGAAAGTATTTGCTAGTGGAGAACCGGCTTTAGTCAGCCTTCGATTCAGTGACGTTTCACGTAATTTAGGTTTCAATTGCAGGTAAGGGTGATTATTACACCGTAACCTTATCCTGTATGAATTTCTCTTGTAGTGTCAGAAACTGATTACAATGTTAACTGTACGAAAAATCCAGTCAATCTAATACATCTGTGTCACAGTCATGCTTGCAAACCCCAACAAAGATACTGTTTCACGCATATCGACGCTGTCCGACCGTCAACATATCTACCGTACAAACAGTGTTTGCCTTGCAGTGTGGCGTTAAAAAACAACACGTCTACAGATCAAATTACCTTGATAAATAATAAAGTGACGTTTGTCAACCTTACAAGTGATATTTCATGCAAGGCTAATGATGGAAAGAACGCTGAACCACAATTATGCCCCAACCCTACAACACAAAATAGCTCAAACCCTATAACACAAAATATCATGCCAAGACATGGAAAGTTACTAAGATCATCAGAAGATGGAAACCCACGTGACAAAAGTAAGAATACGTATTATGCACCAGCATATTATAGTTGAGGGGTAATGGAGGTAGGGCGTAATAGAGAGAGATGGCTGATTAGAGAGTGGGCGTATTAAATAGGGGACATAGTAGAGAAGGGACGAGAGAGAGAGAGAGAGAGAGAGAGAGAGAGAGAGAGAGAGAGAGAGAGAGGGAGGGAGGGAGGGAGAGAGAGAGAGAGAGAGAGAGAGAGAGAGAGAGAGAGAGAGAGAGAGAGAGAGAGAGAGAGAGAGAGAGAGAGAGAGAGAGAGAGAGAGAGAGAGAGAGAGAGAGAGAGAGAGGGGATTATTAAAGAGGACGGTTATTAGAGAGGGATGATCGATATAGGGCATGAAGATTTGCGCTATATAGAATTGATGATTAACAGGAATTATTATGTATCTGTCTAGAGTCAAATCATGAGATTCTAGTTTCGATTGCTTCAGGCAAAGCCATCCTGGTCGCCTTTCTATTGGCATTGCTGTTATTTACTATATTAATTATGGACCTCACTCTTTGCCGTCGAAGGAAAGGAATTCTTTACGCTTTGCTTGGTTGTAAAAGTGATGACGGGGATAATTTTTGTCGACGTTGTAGCGAAAGAAATAGAAAAGAAATTACAGTGTAAAACATATATAGTAAGTACGAAGACCTGGTTCACACGACGAACGTTTCATGAGCCAAACCAAGGAGCTAAAACAATGAGTTTAGGTCATTAACGTTAGCTTAGGCTCATGATTAAACTTGCTGCAAGCCCTCGTTCTTCTGTTATTGAGATCAGTTGTTCCTTCCAAGCCATGCACTGGTCTCATGATTGACTGGATAGACAAAATTGAATTCGAGGGAAATTTGAAACAGGTCTTGCTTCAATCTCGTTCCCAGAGTATGCCTGTTCGCGGGTTAGGTTGTGGCATGACTCTGGGGAAATCGAATCGAAATCGTTATTTGATTGGCTGCCGCGATCATCAATGCTGCCGACACAATTAATGCGTGTTTTTTACGAGAATTAC